TGCTACGCTGATCGCGCGGTGGAGGGGTGGGAAAGGGAAGTCCGGATAGTGAGCAAGAGTATTCTGTGCGTGTGCATGTGTGTGTGTATCACAAACGGCAATATTTCAAAACCGGAAGTTGCCTGCAGTAGGATAGTTCTGTTTTGCTACTTGCCAGCAGCTGGGTGGAAAACAAGTCAGCAAGGAAGACACCCCTCTTTCCTCCTCCCGCCTTCGCTGTATTGTACATACACCTGCTTACCCCTCTAATCCATGTATTAGTGACGTCTAGATTGGACTACTGCCATGTGCTACATTTGAGGCTGCCTTTCAGGGTTTGCAAATGCTGGATGCCCAGTTGAAAATATAATGACTGGAATGCTGACTGTTGCCGATTGCAAAGAAAAGTCATGAAAGATTGATGTTGCCTGTCTCTTATTCTGTGGTCTCCAATTCAGTGGTCTGACTTTGAGGCTTGTATGTGGCACGAAAGGGTATCTTGCATAAATTTAAGTATAGGTTTTGGATTACAGTTTCCAACTGTAGGTCTCCTGATGCTCTTGGACTACCACTCCAGGATAGACCCTTCTGGCTAGGGCTTTTAGGAATCTATGTCCAAGAATATTGGGGACCTCAAACTTGGGAACCACTGCCATAGATTATCTGGATGTGACTCCTAATAGGTATAGACCAAAGCATCTCTTAAGTAGCACATGCAGCAGATGATTTTGAGTTCTGTAGCATTTTGTATGATTGGCAAAAGCGGGGATTATTTAGGTCTAAAAAGGTGACATGAAACATAAATGGATAAAACAGGTAGAACTCATGGGGAAATAAGAAATCAGCTCAGGTACTTTTTGTATGGTGTCTGTGCAATTAAACAAGCATTTTGGAATGCATGCCTTCTCCTCGCACACTAACATAAATTCACCAACTTCTAACTCTACGGCTACAGGATTTATTTTCTGTATCAGCCCCTAAACTATCATTCCAGAAGATTATTTTGAGAGGCCTTTCCCGTGATGATGATGAGCCAATATAAGTGTCAGCAGGATGAGCCATGCACCCATCTTACCAGTGCATCTGAGATAAAGCAATTCTCTTGAATTTATGAGATCAAAATCTTATTTCCCGTAAATTAAAGAATGACTTAATTTACTGTTATCTCAAGTTTACGAATTATCCTCTCATAAATGATTGACTCACCATTTCCTTATTTTCTAGCTCTGAATTTCATGTGTGGATGAAATGAATGCTAATGCTGAGGTTAACTTGTGATCTTAAATGTCTGAAACATATGAAATGTAAGAAAATGGTTCCTGCAAATTTACTTTACACACGCCTCATGTTTGGCTTTTTTGTGATGACTTCAATCATTTGCAATGTACATTGTGTCTCTTGCTTTCCAGCTCAGGAATTCCATGATACTCCAGCATAATATTCTACTCTTGTTGTAACATCTATATTAAGATCAAATGGGCTGTGGCTTGGATGTTATTTGACCATCCGAGCAGTTTGTGAAGCAGCTGACTATTTTTCCCTCCTGAAGGATTATTGGATAAAGTATGCATACAAAGGAAGTCATTAGTCTAAAACAAGGGATGGCAAGATGAATTGAGGTCTAATGGAGACTTTCTGTTTCAATATGACCTACCCTGACAAGAGATATTTACCCAGTGCCATCAGAGCACAAATTAAGAGAAGGCTTTCTTGCTGCTCCCAGGCTGTGGGGCTCTGTGTTAGGAGAAGCTAGGCTGCCTCTCTCCAAGCTATCCTTTGACTAGCAAGGAAAGCCCTTTTTATTCAGGTTTACTTTTGACAACTGACTGGTGGCTGAAAAAGAGAATTTTAGTGGATTTGGTGCAGTATGTATAACTTTTTTGAACTGTTACCATCTGGCAGATGGTGTTTTCTCAATACAGTAGTTTTTATCCCAGAGCTATAATTGCAATGAATAATGAGCTTAAAGACCACCAGTAGTGAATAATTAGTTGGACTGTGTTACTTGGCCTGCGGTGTAGATGTTTGTATTTTTAGTGGGGGATTTTTTAGTGGGTGGGGAGTGTTTGGGGAATTT